TAACCCGATTAGTACAAAGTACTATTCTTCCCCGGGGCCTTCTACAATTCAAACGATATACATAAAATTGTACAATCAAACATATATACACAGTACATGAACAATGATAAGCTCATTTTATATCTTCATAATCGGATGTAATGTACAAATTAAACTAATGGAAATATAGGACAATAAATAAGTCAATATAAAAAGTTTAAAAGACGTAGTAATAACGTTAACAATAACAAGGACATCTATAATAATGAAAATTACAGACGTTGGCTGATTATAACTTTTTCCAAATTCTTTCTAAAAACAGGCAAAGATGGTGATAATTTAACATGTAATGGTAGATTATTCCATAAATGTACACCTGAATATTGAAAAGAGTTTGTAAATAGGATTGTTCGATGCTTTGGTAATCGAAGATTATAATTCAATTCTGAACGCAATGAGTAGGAATCGGAACTGTGAAAAAAAAAAGATCCTGGATATATTCTGGGCTCATACCACAAAAAGTTTTATACAATAAAATACATTTATAGAACGTAACTAACTCAAAAACATTTAACCATCCTAGTTTTTCAAACAAAGGCTTAGATGGATGGTCAGGTGCTGCATCAAGAATAATTCTAGCAGCACGTTTTTGAAGTTTATGAATTCTCTCGATGTTAGATTTGGACGTATTACCCCAGACTGTAAGACAATAGTTTATTGAAGGCAAAATGTATGCATTATAGAAGAGTTTTCTTGTACTCAATGGAAGAAATTTCTTAATTTTACGGAGAGTAAATAACTTGTATCTTAATGATTTACAAACTGTATCAACATGACAATTATACTGAAGAGATTGATCTATTTGAATACCTAGGAGTTTTTCAACTTCAACGTTTTCCAAGTTTTTGCCAGAAATTTTTGCATAAAGTACTGGGTTATTTAATCGTGATCTCTTTTGTTGGGTACACATAAGCATACATTTTGATTTGTCTGTGTTCAGTATCATCTGATTCTGTATACACCAGTTTTCAATTTCACATAAATCAGAATTTAAATGTGTTTCAAGAGTATGTACATTGCTGTTGGGTAAATGCAGAGTTGCATCGTCTGCAAACATATCAATATTAGAGTAATTTACACATAAAGGAAGATCATTTATATACAATAAAAATAGGAGTGGACCTAAAATGGATCCCTGTGGTACCCCTGCTGTGATAGGTAAGATATCGGAAGAACATGTGCCAATTTTAACACTTTGGGTCCTTTCGTTTAAATAAGACTGAAACCACTTAATTGCAAGTGAATCAAAATTATAATGGCGTAATTTCTCTATTAAGATATCATGACTGACTAAATCAAACGCCTTACTAAAATCTAGAAAAGCTATGCCAATTAAATTCCCTTGATCCATTGCATGCAACCAGTTATCAGTGAATTTGGTTAGTGCTGTTTGGCAAGAGTGGAATTCCCTAAAACCAGACTGTGAGCTCATAATGAGGTCAAAGGCTCTTGTAAATTCACGTACTTGATTTGCAATATGCTTTTCAAAAATTTTTGACAAAGTTGGTAAAATAGATATTGGGCGGTAGTTACTGGGATCACTTTTATCGCCCTTCTTATAAATGGGGGTGACTTTAGCATGTTTCAGTTGGGAAGGGAAGATGCCATTACTAATGCTAGTATTAATGAGATGAGTTATGGGTTTAAAAATTACATTTGCAGAAAGTTTTAAGAGACGGGGACCAATGAAATCTACACCTGCTGATTTATTAATGTCAAGTGAGCGTAGCATAGTTAATACATCGTCTGACTTATAGGAAGTAGGCTAAACACATTTTCATCATTGAGTTTGGACTTCGTGAATTCTTTTAACTTTTGAGAATTAAAGCTATGGTTTTGTTTTTTTGTTAATAGATTGTCAGAAATTCTTGTGAAGTGCTCATTAAAAACATTTACGATTTGTTGTAAATCATCAATTTCTGATCCATTCTCTTTAATAAGAGTGGGGGAAATATTTTTTGACTTAGAAGCTAAATGATTGAGATAGCTCCACATTTCTCTAGGATTAGAGCTCTCCTCAATTGCTGATTTGTAATAAGTACATTTTGCATTATTAATCAAAAGTGTAACTCTATTTCTCCAATGTCGAAAATTATCAAAGTCTTTTTGTTGATGATAGTAATCTCGTAAATGTCTAGCATCATTAATTTCTTGCGTTAACCATTTAGGGCGAGACTCGGTTTTTACACGTTTAGTTTTTACCTTAGCATGCTTATTGAGAATGGTATTAAACATGCTGTAGAAGTTTTCCAATATATCATTAGGATTTTGCAAATTTGTAAGAACATTAAAATTGGCACTTTGTAAATCGGAGAGAAAGTCTTCTTCATTAAAATTCTTAAAGTCTCTGTATTGAATTTCAGTGTGTTTTCCCTTACGCTGCATGCTGTTAGATTTAAGGGTTGCACAAACAGGGTAATGGTCAGAGATAGCTATGGGTGGTACTTGAATTTCGCAGATGTTATCAGGTTGGGTAGTGTAAAAATGATCAATTAGGGTACATGAGGTGTTAGTAATTCTAGTAGGTATGGTAATTAGTTGAGTAAGTCCAAATTCTTCTAGAGCAGATGTCCAAGATTGAGGGGGGTCTTTAAGCAGATCTACATTAAAATCACCTGTAAGTATGATTTCTTGGTCATCACAGCAGGGGGCACAATTTATCTCTCTCGCTAGATCCTCCACCCAGCAGGAGGGTGCAGATGGTGGGCGGTATGCAGAACAATAAAATATGGGTTTTGTGTTCTTTAAATTAATTTCTAACCATATTGTCTCAATGTTACTGATTTCTAAATCTTTTCGACGTTTATAGGATAAATCATTTGAGATATAAATTATTATTCCACCGCCTGTCTTATTTTGTCTATCTTTTCTTTCTAGTACATAGCCATCTATACTCAAATCCGAATCACTAATATGGTCCTGTAAAAAAGTCTCACAAAGCCCCAGTACATCCATAGATCGTTCATTTTGTAACATTAATTTCAGTTCATCAAATTTTGGTACAAGATGACAAATATTAAAATTTCCAAAACGCAAACCCTTTTTGATAAGACCAAATCCGGTGTTCACCGGAGTATATTTATTTGTTATGCTTATAGCTTTGTTTGAATCAATACTTTCACACGTAAGACTTTTGTTAATCTCATTTTCAGACATAGATATTTGCGTATCTTTAAGGGAATTTCTTTCTTTTGGAGGTGCATATTTTACTCGAGGAATTTTAACGGTGGGAGAATTTTTCACAGCGCATATACATAATATTTTGTTACATTCTGAACATACAGTTTGGAGAGGTAAAGAATTATTTTGAAGACTTAAGGAATTAATTTCTGTATATTCGGCCTGACATTCGTTGCCCCTATTCTAGTATGGACAAAACTTTTGTTTATGTCCAGGTTCCCCACAATACCAACAGTCTACTTTGCTACCATGTCGGCAATTTCGGGATGAATGGCCTTGTTCCCCACAGTAGTAACAGGATGTAGACTTCCTGGATACGGGCGGAGGTTGCATCTGATTCTGCTTTAGAATTGGGACATGTTCATTGTAAAGTTTCAGCAGAGAGGCGGTTCCTTTGTCTGACAAATGTATGCCGTCCTTCCAGTACAAAGAGGAATTCCAGTCATTAAAAATCCGACTAGATTTAAGAACTGTTGCACCGTATTCCTCACATACAAAGCGGATAGTATCATTTACACCGGTGACCACTGTATCTTTTCTTGGCATGACTTCAGACACGAAAACACGAATGTTTGAATTTCTTTTCCGTAGATCCGTTATTATTGCAGAAAAGTCGTTTTCCACTGCTTCCATATCTCGGTGATTTGAGATATCATTTCCCCCAGCCTGAATAATTGCATTTTCCAGTAAAGAAACATCGTATTGACTAAGTTTTTTACGAATAAATGAGATACTGGCACCCCTATTCGTACTCACTTTAACTTTTGAATTTAACCCACGGGTTTTAATTCTTTGCAGAATTGAACTGCCAATGATGAGTGTTGATTTCTCAGAACTGGGAGATTTTTGAAGGGAATTCCGTCTTGGTTTTCTGTATACATGTGGTTCTGGTTCTGTATTTGTTGAACATTCATTTTTAGAAGTTTCAGAAAGAACATTGTCACACTGCACATGTCTAGAAGTGATATTGTTGGATCCTTTCGGTAGATCATCGGTACAATTGCCTTTGTTCTTGACGACTTTCGAAATTGTTTGAGTACTCGAACTGGTTAAGTTTTTGTGTACATTTTCACCCAGTTTCTTTTTTAAAGACTCAACTTCTACGCGCAGAGCAGAATCACTACACTTGCTACATTCTTTTGATTCATTACACTGCGAAAAACTTGATGAATTTCTCATAGGAGTAGATGCCATATGTGGTGGTGGCTGAGATAGAATAATATTTGATTCATTAATATCACAGGCATAGACACTTATTTCTTCAAGGAATTTCTCGCACCATGTTGTTGCTGAACTACCCTGAATGTGTAGTACTGAGGTGCTTCTGTATATCGTAGCCGTGACCGATCTGCAATCAGTCTTAAAAATATGGCCATCTCCTCTAGTAGTTTTCTCAAAAGTTAGCTCTTGTTCAAGATATGAGAAAATGGCGTCATATTTTACCTTGTCAAAACTCACAGTGATGCTCCTTTTGTTGGTGGTTACTTTAAGGAAGCTGGGTAAATCCACATTGATTTGTAGTTTATCCTGACTGTCATTTATTGGATTTGTTAGTCCAGAAAAAGAATCAAAAATTGATCTAAAGAAACTAGAACCTGGGCTTTCATCCATCATTTGATCTACTACATTGTGTTTTTAACACAGGAATCATAATCCAAATCAAAACAGTATAGGTATCTCAGGTAAAATCAAGAGCAACTTGAAGTACGTCTTATCTCTTCGGTGTCTTATCTTAATATTTCATGGCAAACTGGCAAGATGGTGACTGACCTCGCACTGACATGGGCTTCACAGGCGTCCCTGGACTAAATGTTGAAATGCCAGATGATCAACATTCGCCACTTGATTTTTTCAACCTATTCATCAAGGATGATGATTTCCAGACCATGGCAGACGAAACCAATCGCTATGCGGAGCAGTATCTACAACGAAATGAGGGAAACCTCAAGCCTTCTTCCCGATTTCGTAACTGGGTCAAAACCACACTGGATGAAATGAAGGTGTTTATCGCAATGACGATTGCGATGGGTTTAGTAGTTCAGCTGGACATTTCCGAGTATTGGACAATATCGGAGGTGAATACCACACCGTTTTTTCCGTCATTAATGCCAAGGGACAGGTTTTGGCTCCTTATGTGCTTCTTTCATTTGGCAGATAACAGCGCACAGGTACGTTGAGGAAACGCAGGTTACAACCCTCTATACAAACTCGGATCCCTTTACAAAAACATTATTTCTTCATTCGGGACTGTGTTTCGTCCACACCAACATCTGTCTTTGGATGAAGGGATGGTACCGTGGCAAGGAAATCTGTCTTTTCGTGTGTACAATCCAGACAAACCCAAGAAGTATGGGATCAAGGCCTACATGTTCTGTGATGCAGTGACTGGGTATTGTTTACGTTTAAAACTTTATCCTGGGAAATCGGAGACACCTGCTAGTGCAAATGGGGCTACATACGACTTAGTTATGGACATGATGCGAGGATACTTTGGACAAGGTTACATTTTGTACATGGACAATTATTATAGTTCACCACAGCTTTACACAGACTTGTTTGTGCTCGGGTGTGGTGCCACTGGAACATTACGGGTTAATCGCAAGGGAATTCCACAGCGAATAAAGGACAAAAAGGTGGACAAAGGTAACATGTTCAGTATGTGTAATGATGAACTTGTTCTTGTGAAGTACCATGACCGTAAAGTTGTTTACCTGTTATCTACCATCGAGGAAGCTGCAAAAGCCCCCTGTGGAAGAGTGGCACCAAGAACAGGAACACCTATTGAAAATCCTGCGATCGTTAATGTGTACAACAAGTATATGGGAGGCATAGATCGGTCTGATCAAATGGTTTCTTACGCTACTTTCAATGCCAGGACCCTGAAGTGGTGGAAGCGTGTGATTTTCCATGTGATTTCTCTAGCTACTTTGAATGCTTACCTGTGCTACAAGACCCTAACTCCCAGGAAACCTATGCTTCACAGAGTTTTCCGAAAACAACTTGTAACCGAACTTGTGCAGTCCGTTAACAGAGCATGTGTCCCGGGAATGAGTACAAAGCCTGTCGGGAGGCCTAGCACTGCAGCAGAACCCATCATGAGACTGCAGGGGCAGCATTTCCCCATGAAGATCGTTGGAACAGGCATAAAGAAAAACATTACCCGTGCTTGTGTCGTGTGCTCGGTGGCAGAGAGGCAGAGGCTCGAATCCATTGGAGAAAAAAGGAAAAGAGCAGGAAAGGAATCTAGCTATCAATGTGACAAGTGTCTGTCTGCCTTATGCGTTGACCCCTGCTTCAAACTTTTTCACACACATAAAGACTACATAGCTGCGTACAAGACGCGTGTGATGGTCAACAAGTAAATTTTACCAGTTCAGAAGTGAAAAATATGTGCTGATACAAATCCATCTAAATTTATTTATTATGACATTTTATGTGTTCATTGTTGATCTATTATTCATTTTATCTGTTATAAGTATTACATTGAAAACTAGATTCCTTTTCTGTCTTTTTCTTATGACATTTCATGTGTTCATTATATTATTTGTGCTATCTGTTATAATTTAAATTATTTATTTATATATTTATTTATTTATTTTTATTTATTTATTTATCTGTGATTAATCAATTTTTAAATTTCTAATGAAATATTGATTGATTTGATTTAAAACAATAATATGATATTTCTCTTCTAATATCTATTTCTTTATGTTTTTACCTGTATTTACCTGAAGGTTACCTAAATATATATGTATGTGTACATGTATATAATTATTACCTGTTCAGGTTTGAAAATTATGTGTAGATACATTAAATCCAAATTTAATTATCAAGACATTTTATGTATTTATTTTATTATTCATGTTATTTGTTATAAGTTATTTATTTATTTTTATGTTATTGTATTTAATTAGTTGCATATTTAAAGTTATTCAGTCATTTTCATTGGTTGTTGAAATTGATTTTACCTGTTGAAAAATACATACCTGTTCAGTAATTGAATGAAGAAAATTGTCAATTAATTATTTATTCATTAATTTCTCATGAAATATTGATTGATTTGATTTAAAAAATAATATTTCTCTTCTAAAATCTAATTTTTTTTTTTATGTTTTTACCTGTATTTACCTGAAGATTACCTGTACAACTGTATACATACAAATATATTGTATTATAACATATTTGAAATAGAAGCTAAAAGTCTGCTGAACATTTTGATGTATAATATGTCTATATTACTATTATTGTTACTGAATAAATTTGATTTAAACAAACCACCTCTTTTACTTTCAAAACTAGGCAAAAATATTCAGCTCATAGCCTTTTCACTTTGTATTATATACAGCATTACTAGGGTTAATTACAATTTAGGAGCATATTTCAAACGATAAATTCATTTTCAGTAAATAAGTAGAGCCCCCCCCCTCTATGGTACCCCTGACCCTGTCTCTTTATCATAACTATGTACTTAGTTATTTTATTTAATACCCAGAAGCAGAGAAAATTTTCAAAGAATTAATGTATTTTCACTATACTCTGTGGTTTCATCAATATTTGTTGAACAACAATTTTCGAAGTTTTTGTTGCTGAACTGATCCACGAAATTAAATGTTCATTGAATTGAGAAATGTGTTATTCATTAGGGTGTGCATAGACATGCAATGCTTTTGTCCATAAATATACGTATCATCGAAAGCATCCGTTTTGCAAAATCCACGAATATTGATGGCAACGAAAATTGATGAAACCACAGTAATCAATAAACCCCTGCCCTAACACCAGAACCCCTGACCCTGAGGCCAGTACATAAAGTTGTGACATACGACGACGGACGAAAACAGATAGCAATAGGTCACATGAGTGATTCTCATCAATATCTAACAGCATATGAAGTTTGAAGAAAATATCTTAGTTTCTTTGAAACTGAGCTTTGAACTGAGCGAAATGCAAAGTATGACAGGAGAGACGATGGACATAACAAACATTATTATACTTCTGTTAAAGTGTTTCCTATATAAAGTTAAGAAGGTTAAATAACTTTTTTATATCTTTTATAGTTCACGCATAGCAAAGATATACCCCCAGGGTATAGTTTTTGTTATTATACCTCTGTTTATTTTTTCTATATAAAAATAAGACGAATAAACATGCTATTTTTTTCTAAACAGTCTCTATCGGGAAATAGTTTCAGTGCTATTTGCCCATGGTGAATAGTCCTCAAACTATTTAACGGCAGAATTCCGTTTCCCTCGCTTTTCATCTAGGAAAACTTCTGGTTTTATACGGATTGTGACACGTATATATTATGACGTAACAAAAGTTAAGTAAGCATCGGTATAATATGGAATATCAAAATTGTGTGTACCCTGAACTCCCAGAAAGTTAACAAAGGTTAAGTCAGCATCGGTATAATAAAACACCTATTTACTGACTATTCGGACAATAGCAAGTTTATCGTCCCCCTCGACTGTCTTGGGGAACGATAAACTTGCTATTGTCCTCAAAGCCAGTAAAATAGGTGTATACTATCCACCCTTGGAAAATTTTCATGCAATTTTTGCCTCCAATTTTGATTTCCAGCAATATATCTATCGACTGATGATGTCATAATGACTTAAGTAGCAACGCCATCATGTTTTCAGATTATTCTTGCAGTATTATCTTACTCCTAAAAAATTCAAACCTCAGAAATTACAAGATGCCCAAGGGCCTTGAATCGCTCTTCTGATAAATCATACAACCTATCATTTGAATTCTAAGACCCAGGTTGCATCACCTGACAAAGTTTGATGATTCTTAGCCAATTAGGACTACTTTTTGGTCTACATTCTTGGAAAACACAAAATGCATCAACTGACAAAGTTTTATAATTCTAAGCCAATAAATACCTAAGATACTTAAAAAAAGCCATAAAATGTCACCGTGACCTTCTTTTTGGTAGAAACTCTCTGAAAAACCCAAGATGCATCAACTGACAATGTTTGATGATAAGCCAATAAGTACCGGAAAATACCAGGTACTTAAATATAGCCATAAAATGTCAAAAGAAGGTCATCATGACCTACATTTTGGTTGACATTTTTAAGAGTCCCAAGATGCATCTGCTGACCAACTGTAATAATTCTAAGCCAATAAATACCTGAGATATTCAAAAGTAGGTCACCATGACTTACTTTTTGGAAGAAATTCTCCATAAACCCAAGATGCATCAACTGACAAAGTATGATGATTCTAAACCAATTAGTACTAGAGATACATAAATATAGCCATAAAATGTCAAAAGGAGGTCACTGTGACCTACTTTTTGGTCGACATCCTCGGAATACCAAAGATGCATCAACTGACAAAGTTTGATGATTCTAAGCCAATAAGTACCGCAATAATACTTAAATATAGCCTTAAAATGTCAGATTTTGGCACAAGTAGGTCAGCGTTACCTAATTTTTGGTCATCACTCTCCGAAAACCCGAGATGCATCAACTGAAGAAGTTTCATGATTCTAAGCCAATAAGTACCAAATACTAAATATAGCCATAAAATGTAGAAAGTAGGTCACTGTGACCTAATTTTTGTCATCATTCTCTGAAAACCCAAGATGCATCAACTGACAAAGTTTGATGATTTAGTCCAAAGATAGTATGGAGATACTTAAATATAGCCATAAAATGTCAAAGTAATGTACTGTGACCTAATTTTTGTCATCACTCTCTGAAAACCCAAGATGCATCAACTCACAAAGTTTGATGATTCTAAGCGAATAAATACCTGTAAGATACTTAAATCTAGCCATTAAATTAAAGTAGGTCACCGTGAACTACATTTTGGTTTGACATTTTTCAGAGTCCCAAGATGCATCGCCTGACCAAGTTTGATAATCGTAGGTTTGAAGGTAGAATTAAATATGCCTTTTAAACAATTTGAAAACAAATGCCTGTAAATTCTAAAAGTAGGTCACAGTGACTTACTTTTTCTTTAATATGTTTTAGGTCCCAAGATGCAGCAACTTACAAAATTTGATGATTCTAACCCTTTCAGTGCCTGAAATAATGAGATAAAATGTTTTAAAAAGGAAAGGTCTCAAGTTCAAGTAGGTCATGGTGACCTACTTTTAAGTTGACGTTGTTCAAGGGCCCAAGATGCATCATCTGACTAAGTTTGATGATCATAGGCCTTAAAG